CACACTCAAAATAAAACAACTCATAATATTAATTAGTTATGTCTATAACAGAAGAAAAAAACTGAAGTGATAGCTTTATTCTAATATCCAGTGCGAATCGATATTTGACAGAGTGTGAGTTTTGTTGCTATGACGTCATATCACTTGAGTATATATTACTCATGAACAGTACAAGCATCAGTATCGTTTCTTGTCCGTCTCATATCTCAAACAAAGTGAAATTAGCAAATATTGATGCGAAGCTAACAAAATACGGCGAAACTCGTAAAAAAACAACTTACATGACTTGAAACTTTTTCGTCGACTGTGACAAAAACCTCTCGGGCGACCAGCCGCTTCAAAGTCCCTTGTCTCCACCACCATAATCATCATCATCATCAGGGAATGATCATCGTTCCCTAATGTTGAAGACGAATCTAAAGGATTTTATCACTAACGAAACATGTATGGAAGAAATTCCATGTTAATAATATTTTTTCGGCAATAGCAGTAGTAGACATGGAATTTATTTTCAGCGTTTCGGAGATTTTTTCTGTTTCCATTGTCAAGGCTACGACTTTTCCTACACGATATCATCACCCCCAAATGGGTTAACACTGACAATGAACCACCGAGAAAGCCTTAAATCGTTTAAAACAAATATTATGTAATGAAATCTGCATTAAAGATATAGTTAACAGTTTCTCTTTCGTCTTTAACAATTCTCCTTCGTGTTGATTTGCCTGTCAGTTTTCATGCGGGAATAATTACAGCATTTTGCAGATGAAAAGCGATTAAAATAATCTCACTGCGGAGATGGTGGGTGCTGGGGCCGTGACTGTTGCCTGTTAAACGTGCGAATGAAGATGGAACGCAACTTATTCAGGACAGACGGACGACCATGTGGTTACAGCTTCGAGTGCGATGTTTCGAAGAGTGATGCATTTCTTTCCTTTATCTGGTCATCATAAATCACGTAGCCACGCCATAAACATTCCTACTATCACGTTTGCATGAAATTCTCACCCTCTTCCTTTTCAAATGTCGTTTTCTTCACTCCCTTCCCCTTTTTCATCTTGTCGGGTTCCACCTCTTGTATTCTCCCCACGTGTTCAACACATCGCTTTCTTTCCACCAGTTTTCTTATCATGTCTTGTCTTCTTCCTCATCTTCCTCTCATCGCTCATTCTCCTTCATCACAGCATAGGTTTGTATCTCCCCTTACTATTCTTATTCACCCTCCATCTTCTTTCAGATTTCTTCTTCTTGAATCATATGCTGTAGTGAAACGTATTTAATTCCGACTTCGTATTACGAAAGTATCCATTACGAAGGCTTTCGTGATTTTTCTCAGTCTGCGTGAATACTGGTATGGCACCCAAAACATACCAAAATCCTTCCTCTCACAGGCCAAAATCTCGCAATTCCAACATCTCGCGTCCTCTCTGCATCCGTCATAAGTCTTTAAATTCTTCAGTCTTCGCCTTCGTCTTTGTCATCACCACTACATCTAGGCTGACAATTTGCAACGCCTAGCAATTACTGTAATATACAGACAGTGCTCAGGCATGCAGTCCATCAGACACGTGGCCTTGGTCTGCCTATCCCAATATAATAAGACGAGGAAGACACAACGGGAGGCTGTTGCTCTCTTAGAGGTGGAAACGGCCTGGCCCTCTATGGAACAGCCTTAGGATACGCAGGCTACTCGAAATGGTTTCCCTTCTTTCAGCCTGCGACAGATATCAGAAGTGCACTGCCTCGAACAAACTGTTTATATGTTTACAACCTGTCATCGTATCAAATTTCGCACGCCTAAGGAGTCTGCTTCATGAATTATAGTGATTTTTCTGGAGAACGCAGCCAAGAAACAACTTACTTATCCGTTGTGAGTCGGCCGTTATGACTTCCGCTGTTGTTAACACTCGCAGAAAGTCTTCCTGTACAAAAAAAAATATTTATTTCGCCCATAACCATGGTTGTATTGATTATTTCCAATAAAATCGCCTTATCGTCACACGCACAATTTCAAGCCCGACTTTGAAAAACATTCACCTTAGACTTTCGTGCGGTCTCTGTGATGGTAAGGTGGCTAACAAAATTCGCGTAAAAGTTGTCATAGGTGGCAGATAGACATTCTGTCTTACACGCGATGACACATGCAAGCTCGTTGGCGTTGATCTTGAACTTTCTACTAAAAAAGGTTCTAGAGGCTAAATTAGCTCGGACTTCTACTTGTACATAACACACCTTTACGGTGTACGGATGGTGATCTTCTGGACTGTGGCACCGTGAACACCCATAGGCTGTTAAATTTGTCTCGGATGAACCTATTGCGTCCATACTGGCGGTGTCGTAACTCAAAAGACGACGGTCACCATACATGTTCTAACCTAGAAACACGTTTATATCCGTGTGCATATGAATCAACTCCGAGAGAGTTAGGGATGTTTTCGAAACCTTAACTTTCACCAGACGATCTGAATTGCTATATTTAGCTCGTTGAAAACACTTCAGATTTCTATTCCTGTTTGTCGCTTCCAAATACCCTAAAAACATTATTTTTCATGTCTGTAACAACGAAGCTGTCATAACAGCAACCTAACCACAACTGAAAGCCTAGCTGACACCACAAAGAGAATATGCAAAATACACACACATTTTCAACACAGAAAATTGTTAGGTTCCTATTTACGAACTGAGAGGGATTCAAGACATTTCAAGAACAAAAATTATTCAGCATAAACTCAACATGATAATGATTATATGCACTGGACTCATTTCTGCTCACAAAGGGACTAATGGTGGGCTCTCTTGAACACGGTATTTGAAATCTTGAGTTTCATAAAAGGCAGCAAATTTCTTCCACTACCTGAGGCGTATCAGGTTCTCAACAAGGATTCTACTCCATGGAATTAGTGACAGGTACTGATGGTGCAATATATAAGTGGTTGATGTGTGAGTACTGAAGTCAACAACGAGACCATTGGCGGTGAGGGGGAGGGGGCTGAAGGTTCACATACCCAAATACCCGATTGTCAATGGCGAGTAATTCGTAGAAAGTATCTGAATGCAAAATAGGTTCAAATTGATAAGATGGTATATCAGTGAATATTTGATAACACTACTTTCGTTTCAGAGAGAGGATTGAACGATTTATTGATGAGAACAAGGCGTTGATGAAGAGGATGTATGGAGAATTCACGATGAGCACGGAATACGGACCGCCCTCCAGAGAAACATACGATCAACCGGCTAAAAGGAATGTCAAGCGGGAAGCTGCAGGTGGAGGGGGGGATGGTGGCGGTGGTGCTCAAGATGGCAAGAAAAAGACTATGCCTCCTGGAGTCCCAGACATACACACTCTTCCAGGGCCAGACCCAATAGCCGAAACCAGCTCCAGTGGAGGAGAATCTTACTTTTCAAAACTAAGACATACAAGACAATCATTCCGGAATAACCAATCAAGTGAGAGTGGGCGGTAAGTGCCTGAACAGAATATCAATTACCGAAAGTCATGGCCGAGTGGTTATTACTCCTGGTTTGTATTTTGGAGGTCCCGAGTTCAAATCTCGGCCTGAGATCCGGATATCCTTGTTAAGGGCTTCGTTGATTTCACCAGTCCCGTCAGGCAAATGTCGTGACAGTACTTCAAACTAGGCAACAACCACTTCCTTTTAATTGATCCCCAATAAATGTTACTATATTACTTCAGTCTGTCAATATGCTACTCAAAACAACAGCATTCCATATTTGTAACAAACCGTCAGTTAGGATCTACTTTCCAGTACTGTGCAACATTGTCAATGTTATGGGTTAAAGTAGTAAGAATTTGCTACCTTGCGATCAGAATACAATATGCCTGTTTCACAGTTTTATGATTTCCATGCCTTGAACTTAAAAATCCACATAAGATTCATTTTTTTAGTACGTAAAATAGACTAAATAATGATCATCTCTATTTGGAACATACGCGATACTGCTCCTACTCATTCTCAAACTCGGCACTAGATGGGGGTGAGTGGTCAGCATCACGCACCCCCGATATCCATTGGACAGGATGGGGGGTGGGCCCCAGAGCCAGTCACTGATCAATGTACAGTTTATTAAAACCCATCTTACATATTTTTTTGATTTTATGATATTACAGTGTGGATGCTTGTGAATCCAAGGTGGAGATAGTAACACCATATTGGGCTTCAAACAGTGCTGGGAAGATTCGAGCTATTGTCAATACACAACATTTTGAACAGGCCATTCACCAAGAAGTTTGTTCGTAAGTATATTTAGACAGCTAGCTGCTATATGGGCATGGAAGATGTGCAACAACTGATCACATTTACATTACTGTTTATTCAATAACAGGTGACCAGATCCATACAGAAAACACTGGAGAGGTCTCTAGATGTAAGATTTGAGGTTTTCACAGCGGTGAGTATGAAGATTTCTGTCTTCTGGGTTGTTGCGCTGTGTAGTCTGGTCGATGCTATCGCCCTGATGACGGAGGCAGTATGACCTCTGAAACGTTGGTTAGCATCGACCAGAGTACACAGCGCAACAACCCAGAAGACAGAAATCTTCACACAGATTCATGTATGATTTAAAGCACAAAATAAATTCATGTTTTCTGTTTTAGAAATAAGTTGCAGACAAAGAGGTGTTCAGGAGACTGTGGATGCGAACAGAAATACAAGTGGCATCGTTTATTGGCTTATGATCCCGACAATGATTGTAAAGGAATTTTTATGGACTGGTTCCTTTTCCCATCTTGCTGTGTATGTCGCTGTGCACCTGCATTCGGAAACAAATGACAAGAAATGACTGCTCCGTCACATTACAAAATTAGCCTGAATAGAAAGGAGTAGCAGTATGTATAAGTGGGGTACTCATTCATGTCGCCTTTCGGTTTACGACTAATATATTATCAATATCACAACGAAAGTGACTCTGTTAATATGTTTCTATAAACTACTTACGTATCGCATATTTTTATTTCTGTAATGGTTTATGTACTTGAGAGTGAGGAATGGGAGAAATGTCCTCAAGTAGACTGAGATAAACTTTAAACATTATATTAAAGCACTGATGATTTAAAATATGTCATCAGCAGCATCATTGATTCTTCAGATCAACATCTGGTTTTTGAATGATACAATAACTAAAGGAATGTCTTTATTTGTGTGCCATCTAACGTCTATCCAAGAAATTACCAAAATTTCCAACTGTAAAAATTATGCATTTTAACAGTTCAGCTCTGAAAATTATACTACAGATCTGTAATTATGGAACCGAAGATATATTTCAGTATCAATTTGTATGAGTAATATTTGCCAGTGAGTGATGGAACGGAGACCACGGAGATGATGGATAGATGACGTGGAGGAGGATGTGAGGACGATGGGAGTGAGGGGATGGAGAAGAATTGTAAATGATAGGTCAGAATGGAAAAAACTCTTCGAACAAGCTAAGACCCACACAGGGTTATAATGCTACAAGAAGAAAAAGAAGATTTGCCAGTATTCTTGAAAATTTTCATTACTCAGTCCATACACAATAGCTTCCATGTTTCTGAATTTGGATGAGGTTCTGAAAGGTTTCAAATACAGGCTTCATATTCATAATCATATGATTTTTTTTTCTTCCTTTCAGTACTTCTAATCACTTGACATTCAATGCTGAATTGAAGTCAACAGTATAATGTATGATCAGTGATATAATTATAATGTAAAAATACACAAAAACTGCTCTATGACATTCGTGTTTCAATGGTTTGCTTTGAATGATTTTAACCTCTTCGGCTTGGTTTGTATTAACATAGACTGGATTTTAAATTATTTGAATAGCTAATAAATGTGAATTTAAAATAGCAACATATTAACAGATGATTCGATTGAAATGAAGTGTTTGATAGACATATTTGTGTTTTATCATTGAGTGTATGATGTTGAGTGAATAGTTCACCACAAGAGAGAACAAAGAATAATTTTGCAAACTACTTAAGCTACATTTTAGGTGTTCAAAAAACATTGTTACCTTAATTGAAGTTTTCAAAGTTATTATTAGAAGTGTGAAGTTTTTTATTATAAAAATGTTTCAATAATGATGATGTTCTTTTAGAATCAATATATATTCTTTAATTTTGCAGTTATTACAAAGAAATCACAGTTTTTACCATGTCTGATATATATATATATGCATTTTATTAATAATAATTAAATTAAAGAATTCTTCAATTATAATTATAATATCTGATAGTATGTATATATGTTTCTGGTTAGGTGGACTGCTTCAGAAACAGAAAACCGTGGACAGACAGACAACTACTCTGCATATTTATTGTGTTGCACATAATGACTTTCTTCAAATTTTGTTCTGTTTGACACAGGCAGAGCTGATGAACAGCAGATCCCAGTGTAAAGACACCTTCACTGTAGACTTTTTTAGAAACTTTTAAAATTAATATCTTCAGATGCCAAACCAGAAAGGTTTCACTGTATTTTTTATTGTTTGTTGTCCTAGGTATAAAATACTCTACGTGTTATATTTTCCTGTTCAGTGGCCTATTTCAAAATGGCCTGACACACAGAGTGTCATTTGCAAAGCTGGACATAATACAGTCGCACTTCAGTCGTGTGCTCACAGGCATGTTCTATTACCATGAAACAAACAGGAGTCAAATTGCATTAGAACCATTTGGAACCTCTCTGTGCAATTTATTTAAGGTTACAATGAAAGCAAAGGATATTATATGTTTTAAATAAGAATATGTAAAACTCCATATGAGTATGAGAGTATGAATTTGATATTGTTAGGTGTAAGATACATATTTTATTATGAATATTTCAATAATAGAATTAGTATTCATAAATTTATATCACAGTATCCTGTTGTGATTGATACTAGTTACTTTTTGGTTAAACCGTAGCTGTTCATACAACTTTTCAGCATTTACTGCAATTATACCGCTCTATTATTTTCTGCCACACTAGTGTTGAATAACATTTCAATCAACATGATCATCCTCAGGTTTACCTGGACACTTGCACATTTGGGTCATATTGATTTGTTACCTTTAACATTTATAGCCCTAGGTGACCATACACATATCTGAAAACTGTTAGCCCAGCTGGACTTGCTAACAACATGTTGGTCATACAATGAGACATTATGTTCTCACATGAAATAATTATATGAAAAGTTTATAATTTTCACAAGAAATAAGTTTGTTTGCCATGTCTATTTATAATGTGTATAGACGCTACTAAAATTATAATTTTTTGTTTTATTGGACTGTTTTCTGATGTTCTGCACTTTTAGCATTTATTAAAATGCTCTCTGTCAGTTAGCACCACTGGTATTTTAAGTGGTACACAGAAGGATCCACACTGAAGTTAAAGAATAAATAAAATGCAATATATTATTAATACCTATTAACATATTTCATAAATGTATATCTAAATTGTCAGTTTTCCTGCTTTGTGGTCATACTGTATTTAATTATGGAAATTCTTGTACTGTGTGAACATGTAATCTTATGCTCATTTGTTGTTGCGTGGTCTTGTTATGTTGCTGGGGCAGTCTTATTTAGGTGTGTGGTCACCCTGACAAGCAACATGATTTTCAGATGGAACAGTGCCACAATACAGTAATATAATTCCAATAAACATTGAAAATGTTGTATGAACAGTAATGGATTAACTGAACAATAACTGGAATTAGTGTTGTTTCAATAAATATATTAAATATGACACAGTGCATAATTATCTTTGTTTATAACTTCCCATTCATGAAATGAAACTTTTATAAGTATTACATGCTTTACTTGTGAGTATCATTTTCTGCATAAGCCTAAGAATAATGCAAATGAATTATAAACCTGCTGATCAGACTCTGTGGTTGAGCCTTTAGTTAGTTATAATTATTCGGATTGCATTAGCAGGCCACTGAATATTTTGACTGTCACACAAATCAGAAGCATGAAGTACACAATTCAAACTTAAAACAGTATTACCTGTCCTGACCTGACCATGACTTTATTGGTATTCCCCTCAGTATTTCCAGACAGACTTTTGATAGGGCAATAAACTGTATTCTTTCTATTCATTACTCTTACCATACATTCTTATGGTAAAGTTCTGGCAGCAAGTGCATTCAGAGGAACTAATGGATTGCATAGTAGACAAATAAGCTTCCATATACACCCAGTAACACAGGCCATGTGTACACTAAACTAAACATTGGAGATGGTCCTCAGGAAGATCAATCCTCACATTCTCACAACCTATTTTAAATTTTATCCCCTTCTTTATCTTTCAAGTAACTGTTTTAAAAAAAGATTATACCACAAAAGTTTATTCATTTTTTATATTGTACATAAGCATTCAAGGCATTAATGTGTAACTATGCTGAGAAATTTCATGCTGATTATGATAATCTTTATTTCTTTGTTAAATGGTCAAATATTTATGCCTCTCTGCTGGATGGTAAGGGCTCAGAGCTGACCAATCTTTGGACTGTGGTTCCACTATCACTATTTATCCAATAAACACTGTATGGAGAAAACAAGGATTATCTGCAAATTGAAACTAGCATGGAACCAGGAATTAAACAAAAAATAATATGCCTAAGAAATCCAATTATTAAGAGGACTAGGTTTTATGCTGGTCTGGTCTAACAGATCTCATTGACTTCCAGGAATGATTGTTCAAAAATATATTTTCCTTTTGAGACAGAAGAAAGAAATGGAGTTTTATCCAATATATTATTTGTAAGTGATGTTCATTCTGATATCTTATAATATGGTGTTTCAGTATTGCTGTCTTCTGCGTTTCAGCACCATGTAATCTGGTAGAAGGTTACTAACATTTCAGAGGTCCTTGCTACCTCCATCATTAGCCAGCAAAGATCTCTGAAATGTTGGAAAACTTCTACCAGATTACAGAGTGCTACAACTCAGAAGACAGCCATCTTAATACTCACTGCTGTGAGAACCTCAAACCCTACCGAGATAGTGTCTGATCACTTATGTTTATGGAATGGTCAGAATCATCAGGAAGGTGGAAATGATCATGCTCTAGGCCAACAACCTATTACCCTGGAATGGATAGAAATAGTCTGTATCCTAACAATAAACAGAGAGGACAGGTTTCCTCTTAGCAAGTCATGTAAGCCTTTATTTCGAACCCTGAAAGAATGGAAAAAGACTAAAATGTCACTGTCTAAACACATGGAAAGTAATAAAGATACGTGTATGTAACAAACATATGATACGATATGTCCATGGTCCCAATGTAGCTTGAATCTTTAGGTGTAAACCTGCTCCTTCTCCCTCCAGAAATATACCAATTATTCTTCCGAAGTCACTGGCTAATATTTACTGCATGCAATAATTTTAATCTATCAGGCAAGCAACAGTGGCGCTTCCACGAGAATCATTATTGGAATACGATTATAGAGAATATTATTAAACTAACGGGAAATTCGTAGAATGCACACACATATGGTTGCCAGTACTGTAAAATGGTTATCGGACTACCAACATGGCTATTGAGAAGAGGTTGCTGTAAGAGTTATATTCCTTCTAGGTTGTTGTAATGTACGTAGTGTTGTGAAGTATTACATTTACATCATCTGTATACTTATGGTCAGTAACTGGATAGTAGCTTTAGTGGTGTAAGCTTAAATGTAAACACGCATTCGACGTTAATAGTTCTTATGACATTTCGAACCGTTCTACGTTAAGATAACACTGATAGCAATGGGTTTATGTTTAAAATACTTTCCTTGTATTGTGTGACTCACTATGTCATGAATATGGTACCTTTCATCACATAAAAGTAATCAGATTTATAACTGCAGTATTCAGAGAAAATATTTTTTACAAATATTCCGATTTCTCGTGTGTCGACATGTTTTTAAAATTATTTGTGAATTTCCGTTTGTGGTAATTCCGAGATAAGTAGGTTTAATGTACAAAGAGTGGGTATTGCATTAAACAAATACATGTGAAAATGAAGCTGGCTTTTGCAGTATTATAAATGCATTTGCATTATATGTTCAGTGGTCTTTATCTTTTGTACACAACATTCGTAAGCATAATGGGTTGTGAAATGAGTGAGTTACATTTGGAGCATTGTGTGCAAAGCTTGACGGTTCTGATGGATATTGGTGGTTTATGTTCAACTGATAATTGTGGTTTTATATATATATATATGTTTCTTCCTTTTCTTCTTGTCCGATGCCTTAGACAGTATGCAATGTCAGTATAAACATCTAGCACAGCTACACATCTCTGAGCAAGACTACACATAAGACAAGAAAACAAAAAAAAACATGCAATAAAAACAAATTATCAGTCAAACATAAGCCACACCAGTTTCCATATGCTGTGCTCCATCTAAAACAGAATAAAAAATAAATTTAAACACACAGACAGCATACTAAAATGCATGTATGGCATAGTTATAAAAGAGTGCATTTAATAGATTAGCTGCTTTACCTTTTTGAGCATAATGGCAACTAGGAGAACAGGTTACTCTTTTCAAAGGTGAATATTTTGCTTGAAGATGCTCTCTCACTACTATACACAATGCAAAGTGAGCACTGAAAATTTGAATGACATCTGCCAGATAGATCTAAAAAAATACTAATTGTGGTATGTTTCTGCAGTGATCAGGTGAAGTATGCACCAAGCTGTGCAGGTGTGAATGTGTTTGAACTAATTAAAGCTGTTTTACATTTTCATGAATTTTTTTAACAGCAAAATGTCAAAGCATTTCTTTTGTTCCGAGGTTTACTGCCCTCTTGCAATAGTTCTAATGGTACAGTAAACATGACTGGTTATTATTTGTTTTGCCCTTTTCACAGATGGCAGAAGCTAAAGTTACAGTTTATAGTGATGACAGATCAAACACTGTTCTGAATGAAGACACTAACTTCATAGTGGATCATCAGTTACCAAATGATGAAGAAATCAGTTTTGTACCTGATCAATCTAACATCAGTACACATTATCATAAAAACCTTTTAGACATTCCTGATGGGAATATTAAGGGGAGTTTTGAAGATAAATTGGGCCCTCATTTGCAGGAAACTGCACCAGAGCTTATGGATGATATGTCAAATGTTACAGTTGCAGGCACTTCCAGTGAAGACATAAAAGTGAATTATCACAACCAACTTGATGAAAGTAATATGAACAAAATAAAAAATGTTGAATCCTCAATTATCCGTACATCTTCTATTTCATTTACTACCAATGCCACTGATATTGTTAACTCAGAAAATATAGCAGCAGGATTTCCATTAAATTCTGGAAATGTACAACTCATGCACACCTCTTGCAGTCAGAATTCTAGCAATATTTCAGATTTGTTCACCAGTGCAACAGATTCTTCACACTGCAATAATCAGGAAAAAATGAATAATTCCTTGAAACTGATTTGTGACTATGGGAGTGATTCTGATATTGATGACAGTATTGAAATACATTCCAAACCAGGGGCCATCATTATGAGGCCTTCAGAAAATGAAAAATTATTTTCGATTGATTATAGAACAGCTCAGGTTTTATTTTCTGAGGACTCTGATGATAGTTCTGATAGTTCAGATGAGAAATCAGACAGTGACAGTTCAACTAGTTCCAGCAGCAGCAGTGGTTGCAGCAACAGTAATAGCGGCTCTTCATTAGGAATAGAAAATGCATCTGCTTTGAAGCGGTATGTGTACATATATGAAAGATAAATTTATGGTAAATGAAGTGAATTAAACAGTGGGACATGTATATGAGGACTTTCCATAGTGTAAGGCCCAAAATTAAATTTAAGGAATTGTTAGTGAATCTTTACATTTACAATATATTGTTCTGTTCTATTCTATTTTATTTTGATCTGTTCCTTTCAGTTCCTATGTAGACAGTAGGTCATTCATAGAAATCAATGGTGATAAAACAGGTGAATTAAATGAGTTTTTTAATTGCTGGGAAATAGTTAATTTTTAAAATAAGATATTTTCTGTGCATATTTACCAGTGTGTATGGTGTTCTATATAGTTTCAGAGTAATTAGTAATGTTCTTCCCTAGACATACTGCCTGTGAAACAAGAGTTTCTGACATGGTAAATTTGCTAATCTCGATTCATGTCATTAACATTAATTTGCATCTAACCATAATGCTTTGTGCTTTGAATGAAGCATTTCCTTAAGTTATTTTATTCTTCAGGAATGTTACTAATAATGAACAGAATAAAACTCCCAAACCTAAAAAGAAAGATCCAATGAAGACCAGGGGAGAAATTCTCATTGAAGACCTTCCTCCAATAAAAGATTTGCAAATCGAAGTGTCTGAAAAGGAATGTGTGGAACTGGGCAAAATATTCAGCATTGTGGACCAAATGGGTATGTGCGAGTCAGAGTTAATTTTCATATACCATACCATTGGAGGATTATGGTTTTAAACACTTACGCTTGTAGAATAAAAGTGTGAGTCATAGTAATGCTAAATAATTGAGGTCTTTAAAATTTTATTCTTGTGTATAAGAGCTGTAACAGTTCTCCAAATAATGTCTAGATTGAATGATTTCTAGTCATTTGCATTTATAACTTAATGTTCAACTTCACAACAAGGCAATTTGTCAATTTCTTCCAGTGGAGGTTTCTGTGGGATACTGTTGCATCTGCTTTACATAGGTTCTTTATGTCATACCTGTCTAATTGCATTGTATGTCATTGGTAATCTGATTCCAGATTATATATTTTACAAAGAGAACAAGTGTAATAGCTGAAGAGTTCAGTACCTTGATATTTATGCTAATAAATAAAATTCTGTTTTATTTCAGTGGTTGTTCAATCTATCAAGAATTCTCCTGCCCTTAATTTAGACAGTGTTTTGTTTCTTGATCATGGCAGAATAACTTTAGGATATATTTTTGATGTATTTGGTCCAGTTGGAGAACCCTTATACTGTGTTCGGTTTAATTCGGCAGAACACATTAAAGAAAAAGGAATAAAAAAAGATATGATAGTGTATTGTGCACCCACAAATGAACACACATCATATGTATTTCTTCAAGATCTGTTGAGGTAATGTTATTTGCGACACTTTCAAAGTGCATTCAAGGAGTTGTTTTAAAAATAATGTTGTAAACGTTCTAGTAAAGGAAGGACACTGTAGATAAGCATATAGAATCTTGAAATATAAACTTACTAAGGGCATAATAATTTTGCATTTGGAATTATAAAATATACTATATACAAGAGTATATTTAGTGTGTTAAGACTTGCATACAAATACTTTAGCTACTGGATCTGAATATAATTTAGGCTTGGCATACTTTTATGTTCCTCTTAATGGTTACTTTCATAACAGTGAGTGAGCTACAAGAATATCTTAGACACCACCAAGAAATATTCAGTTGCCAGTATGTACTAGTGTTTTCAATTCCTATTGAAACAAAGAGATGTAGTTATAAGTACTTCTATTGCAAAAAGTCACCTTTTTATAGATGGTCTTGGTAAATTAATTTGCTTATTCTATAGCATGAAAGGGTCAGATGCCTCTTGGGAAGACAACAATGAACCTCCACCCAAATGCCTTGATTATTCTGATGATGAAGAGGAGAGAACAGCAAAGAGATCAATCAAAGTTGGTGAGAGAAAGGTAAAAATGTATATAGTTAATACTTAAGTACTGATGGACCAACTAAACTAACTATGGAGCACAGACCTTCTTCATATGCTGATATTATACTCAAATAGTTAAGAAATTCCCTGCCTTTTATGGAACCTTGAAGGATTATTACAATGTTCACAAGAGCCTGCCACAGGTCACTGTTATAATCCTAATGGACTTCTGTTGCATATTCTTTTAGGATATTCATGAGAAAAAAGGCAGAACACTTAACAGACTAAGATCCCAAAAATATTCTGTTGGAAATACAATAAGTACATGAAACATTTATTTTATGATAATAATTATCAAGCCACTGTATTGAGATGATTTAGAATGTTGTATTTACATATTTTGTGTGAATCTTCTGTCTCTTGAGAAGTATGAATGTGATGATGACATGAAGCTTTGAGGTTATTTTATATGATAGTTTACATACCATTTTAGCTAGACAAGTGCAACTTGCTTTGATAAACATACCTACAAATTTTGAATGCCACTTTTTTGTGTCAGAGCACCAAGATGGTGAGTACATGAACATTTTTATTGTAAATAAAAAAAATTAAATCCTTGTTCCCTGGGGTAGGGCCAACTGAGAGATTCCTGCT